TATATATATATATATATATATATATATATATATATATATATATATATATATATTGTTCTTATCATTGTTTGTAAAAAGTAGGTACTTACGCGAGCACTTATTTTTGTATATCGATTACGTTAATTGAATTGAAACTATAACAACAATATTATCTTTGATCAAAGAGAGATAACGTTAACGTCTGCATCATTTTGAATCATATTCGTGGAAATGAAATTGTTATTAAATCTAACCTTGGAAAAAAATAATAAAAAGAAGAATATTTTTTTTTATAAATATATTAAAAAAAGAGAAATATCTTAAATATGAAATATTTATTAAACGCAACAGCGAATGTTCAAATTCAATAAGAAGAGTATATATATATATATATATCTATTTAAAAAAAAAAATCAGATTCCATTTGAATATATATTATTCTAAATAATTTGCTAGTGCATATCTCCGTGCATATTTTCTACCAGTTTTGCTTAAAATAATCACGCAAGTTGTTCAGAACATTTACGAATCTCAATGCCCGATAACCTTATCTTTGAATTTTCTTTTATACGTAACTCCTACATGTATGCAATGATTATAGTTCATTGCATACACTCTATATAAATGTTACTTTAATGTAATTAATAATGGATACTTTGATCGATACTTTTTTCGATTAATAATCGATAATAAATTGATATCTGAATATCAACACTCGATATTGTTGACGAAAAGCCATCATTTTATTTTAATTATTTTAATTTCTTTAATAATAAAATATAACCTTTGATTCTATCAACTCCAAGTTTTCTCGAATACTCGATATCTTTGCACGAATTAAAAAGTATTTATCGCAAATAAAATTTCTAAATTTATAATTTTGTTACTATCGAAAAATGAGATATATCAAAATTTATTTTTAATGTATTTATCACGCTTCGATTTGCTTTATTCGTGTAGAATATACAATTTGTAGAATTCGTTTTATATATTACAATTCATTTTAAATAATAAATACATATTTATCTTATTATCGATAGATAGATCGGTATGTATTGATAAACGTTACTCATCCAAAAAATTAGCAAGAGAAATTTACAAACAATAATATAATTACAACGATTTACTTCATTTTTATATATCTAGATTTCATGTTAGAATTATTCGAAAATTAATTACAGATTTTAATAATACGAAGTTACATTAGCTTCATTTAAAATTAAACTAAAACAAATTTCGAAATTCAAAAATTCCTATGATTTCATTGGAGAAAGAAAAAAAAAAATGTTGGGAAACTATTCTCAAGTCAAATTGACCAATAAATTTATTATATAAAATGTATTGATTAATCGATTAATTTTCTAAAAATATTATTTTATGAGAAATGAATATCAAAATGATATTGATATACAATGATAAAATTATAACACGATAATTGATTTGCTTAGAAGATAAACTAATCGATAGTTTTAACAACAAAGTGTATAATATTACATCAACTTTTTAAAAAAAACACATGATTAATTACCATAATTATAATATTTAACATTTTCTTACTTTTAGACAGCATGATGAGAAATTGCGGGAAACTTTCAAATGCAAAGACACAACGAGTAAATAAAGATTTGTTTCAACTTGATTAGAGCTCGATTTATTAATTACGCTACGAAACGTGTTCACCGACATGTTGCATTTAGTTGCACCAAAAATAGAAGAGATGTCCTTACCTCCGCGCCAACGACATGATGGCGACTTCGTTTTCCGGTAAGCGAGTCGACGGAAGCGTCGTCCAGGTCGATATACATCTCCTGATCACAGTCTTGATCGCTACCCGATAACCTCTCCAGGCTTCGCATTATCCCGAGGAAAGAAACGCGTTGGACCCCCTGGAATCGCACACGGTTGCAATATTAATCTTCGTCGATCGGTTGAAAAATATAATGTGTATGTTTATATACTGCTAATTTCTCGATGAATCATTTATTAGCGATGTTCATCGATTCATCGTTATTTATGTGATTCAGACGTTCGATCTCTTTCGATTTTTACTTTTTTTCTTTTACTTTTTTTTCGTAGAAAGTGTCTCAAGAGAAAAAAATCAATAATCTTGTCGTGCAATCTCATCGTTAATTATCGAACGGGTAAGTGATTCGACGATTGATCGATTAGAATATTTATCGAATTACGTTGTTTAACAGGTTCTTTTTGACAGCGTGACAGCATGTGTGTTTGATTTGTGGGTGAAAATAATCGATAGTGTTGGAAGTCTTGAAATCGATAAGGATTCTATTAATATGAACCAGTTGAGAGATTGAGCGAACAAGAGGAGGTGTCGATCCATTTTTGACAGTTTCCTAAAGAAAATGAAAGATAACCTCTTTCTAAATTTTTCCTATTTTTCGAAACTTTACAGTTTCAGATTTCGATCCATTAATAAATCGATAAAATATTATTATTCTATACATCAAACACACGAATAATATAATTTTTATCCTAAACTCGCTGTTGATTAAAGAATAAGATTATTAGATTGAAATTTTTCCGAAATATTTACGAATTCGCAAAAAAAATCTTTGAGAAAATAAATAATCGGGGAATTACCGATGCATATATTGCAAGATTATTAATGGAAAGATAAGTAAATTGTGGGATCTCCCAGCAATCGATACAAATGTAAACATTTCAGGACAATTGAGAAACATTGGCACGAGAAACGTGCGCTAAACGAGATAATCGAAGTGGGATATCCCGTTTTCCCTGGCTACGCTTGATTCAATGCCAAGAATTCTTCGCACACAATTACGCTCTCTGTGCTTTACGATCTGCGATTAAGTAATTGTATATATCACTGTGGCGACGTACGTAAGTACACGAGTAACTATAGGTCGAGCATTATCGAAGAAATGATATAAATATACAATCGATAAACTCTTGTGGTTTTTTAATATTCATTTACGTCTTATTTATTTGTTTATTTATTTATTTATTTATTTTTTTTCGTAACAAAGAAATAATAAAATAATAGGAAAACGATCGGAAACACATGTTATTGAATTAAAGAGATAAATATGCTTTCTTCAACTACCATAATATCACCTCAACTCGCAAAGAGAAAAAACAAGGAAGGAAATATGGAGAGAAAGTCCGTTCCGACTGATGTTTCTTTCTGGATTGTCCAGTTCGATTTTCTCGTCGGGGAAACTGACTCGTAATATTTCTACGTTTTTACTACTTCAATGTATCAAACTCTTTTAAACCATTCAACTCTTTTCCAAAACATTTCCAACATTCTGTGTTTCGACTAATAAACTTCATTGCAACTAATAATTTTCAAACGTTTCTGCATGAAATAAACAAGACTAATGATTACGAAATAATATATTGAGAAAAATTTGCGATTCTCTCTCGATGTTCTACGTTAGCGAGTTACTTATGATCATGTGAAAATAATTATACGTTCTGCAAAATAACCTGTTGTTGTAATTGTTTCTAAAGTATAGTCGCTCGTGCAACGTTTTGTTTTGTAGCACGATGCAATGAGAATTAGCAAAAGGCATCTATTATTTCCCTAGAATTTATCTTATGGAGCATTAAATATTCAAACTGCGTATAGTCCCAATCACAAGTTGTTGGAAACGTTTTTTAACGTTTCAGGAAATGAACAGAAAAATGAACATTATTGTATGGCATCGATAGAAAACTTTAAAATGTTAAATTGAAAAATATTTGCGATTAATGTGAGATTAATGTTTAGATTAGATTAAGTTAGATCAGGAAGACTAGATTAGAAAAACTTATTACTATATTTAGAAAATATAATTGAATATATTATTTAGCGATTGTGAGTGGAATAATAATCGCAGAGAACGCAAATTCCTATTAATCAGAAAATGAAATATCGCGAATTTTTTTTTTTTTCTCGGTGAAGAAGTATTTTTACTCGCGTGAAAAAAGTGGAAAGGAAAAGAGTTATCTCATTGAAAATGAAAACCGAGTTGTGGATGGATGAATCGTTATTTACAAAGGATTTTGTCGTTTCGTTTTGAAAAATATACTCGTGAAGTTTATTTCAAATTTTATGACCTCTGACATTTTACTCTTCATTTTTTTCATCATTTCGTGATTTGATTTTTAAAAAATCTAAATATTCCTCCGTTTTATACAAAACAGTTTATATACGAAACAGTTTTGTGACAATTTCTTTTAAAGTTTTGTTTATTTAAGAATTGAAAAAGTTTCTATTACTTTAATCGCATAGATTAACTAAAACAAATTAATTTATTCATAATTTTATCTTGTAAATAATTTGAGTATATAACATAAAAATTTTTTTTTTTCTTGCCTTCGAGTCAATAATTTTTTATTTTTTTGACATGTATATATTAAATTTCACATATTTTTGTTGTTTGTATATATTCATTCTAGATACAAAACGTAAAATTCAAACTTCGTATCGATATCTATATTTTTTTTGATTGACTGTTTATTTATATAAAACGGTTTCTCAATAATATCGATTGGAAAAAAAAAATATAAAAATATACACGTCGAAAAAAGTCAAAACAAAAGACCAATATTATCTCTCGACAAACTTTAAAAATATTTTTCAAACAAACGTCCAATAAGATTTCTCGTTCGAAAACTCGTTTCTATGAACCGGTGAGCACGATTACACGCGAAAAAGACAATTAAACGAGCATTGCTATTGGATGTCACAACAAGATCTCTCGCGCATGCTTCAACTACGAGATATACCACTCGATTCGTAAAGTGGTTTCGAGCATCCTTCGATATTAATCTTAGTCAATAGTCAAATCCTTTTAATTTAATATCAATTGCAGCGTCGATCGGAAGAAAATAATTTCATCACAACGGCGTTTATATATATATATATATACATACAAGATCGAGGAAAGAAGGATATCTCTTCTATATTTTCTGCTTTCTTTTCGTACGCTTCATTATCGACCGACATCTCTCGTTCAACGACATTCTCAAAAGGTATTGTTGCTCGGTGCATGCTCGAAACTCGCGTGTAATGGAACCTAATGCAAATACATTCTGCGACTTCATTAATGACGGGGACGCGGCGTGTGTCACGTGGGGGCCCCATTACACTGGGAACACACGGTTCACGGTTGTGTGTATACACGTTATACGTTCCTAAAGTTATCTAAGTTGTATCGCTGTGTCAAGTCCTTCGGAGTTGGACGTGCGTCTATTCATTAGCGATATAAATGCATCGAATTACGTTATTATCCGTACACGAGAGGCCGTGTTGGAGAGGTATACACGTTATACGTTCCTAAAGTTATCTAAGTTGTATCGCTGTGTCAAGTCCTTCGGAGTTGGACGTGCGTCTATTCATTAGCGATATAAATGCATCGAATTACGTTATTATCCGTACACGAGAGGCCGTGTTGGAGAGGAAAAAAAAAAAAAGGAAAAAAGGAGTATTTGGCTCGAAATTTAAAAATTTTTAAAAACCGGGGATTGATACACTGAAAGTATAACACGGTCACGTACGTACGTATGTGTGTGTTTCGTTTAAATTGATAAGATAAATGGTGCATTGGTGAAATCGTGTATGAAAATTTCGTCAGAGTATCCCTCGCACGTGGAGCATTATGCGGGGTTTAACTCTTTCGACCTTGGTGAGTATTTTTTTTTTTTTTTTTATTTCTCTGTATCTCGTCTATTATTCTCTTATTAATAAAGCTTAATCGTATATCGTTATTGTGTTATAAATCTACTTTTTAAAAGCGAAAAAAGAAAAGGAATCGAACAGATAAGAGCCGAATCAAAGAGATCGGAGAGCGCAACAATGTGGAAATTAAAATTATGAACGGTATCCAGCTACAGGATATTTACAGGTACAAGAATTTAAGGAATTTTATTTAGTATATAACTATGTATAAATATTATCGAATTAAGTATAAGTAACAGGTATAATTCGTGAAATTCACTTGTGAAAACTGCTTTAAAAGAAGAAAATACATATCGACAAGAAATTGATAAAGTTGCGACACGTAAAATTTTTACCAATAATATTAATTCAATTGCGCAAGAGGATTATTCGAGTTAATATAACGAGATTTATTTCGCTTGATATAATATTTGCCGAGGCCTTGTTGTTTCTCTTGGAATAACGTGTGTTTTTTTAACGTATATACACCAATCTCTTGTTTCGACAAATTGCAGACGTTACGATATTATACTCGTGTGTATGGAAACATAAAATTTCAATACGAGATTAACAATGATTTTTTTTTTTTTTTTCTAGAATATAACGTTCCTACCTTATATTTCCTGCAAGTGGAAATTTCCAACGTAATTTGCATCCTCTCTTATATTATATTCTCTCCGTATTCCTAGTAGTTTTTTCTTTTTCTATTTTTTCCTATCGACGTTTTCCCGAATTTTTATAACATTGACAAACGATCGATGAAAACGGATCCGTGTTGAATGTGATTAAGGAAGAAAAATGTTTCGTCGAACGTTACACAACAAATCCGTACAATTCTCTTTACTCTTACTTTTTTCCATCGAGTTTTCCACGTCCAATGAATTTCTCAATTTGAATATTTATAATTTTTGAGCTGCACTTTCTGCCTTCGAAAATCTCGACGTTTTCCGACGAGAAATAATAAATTTGCGAGAAAACATTCGAGTTTACGAGAGTGCATCACCACTCGCTCCTCTCCTCTCGTAAACTCGAATGTTTTCCATTCCTTGATACCAGCCTTTTACATCATAAAACGGCAGAAGTTTCTTGATTACCTGACAGAATTGAATGGCATCTCTAATAGCGTATTACATTTCCTGACGGGATACTTTCGTCGATATCTGTGCGCGCACAGTTTTATGCACAGTTATTTGGATAATTCTTAGCATCGTAAGTGGAATTTTAGAAAGCACCCATGTTCACAATGCGAAACTGTTCCGAACGCGACACGGCTGAAGGAACAGTTACTTGGAAACGCCAATGTTTCCAAGTCCACGAGTCCAACTGTTTTATGAAAATGTTTCAATATAATGCCACAATTCTGAAACAAATTCGTTCGTCTGAAATAATTTCGTTTACTTGAATTAAGCAGGAAACGCTTTTCCCCTACAAATATTCTCTTCCAAGATAAATATCGCGGTTGATTTCGATTTTCGATTACAGAAAGATCTTTTGGATTAAAATTTTCTTACAAATTTTCACACGATAATTTTTCACATCTTTTTTTTTTCCAGGGGAACGAAGAATACCCACGTACCTTCATTATTATCTGGAAATTATCTCGTTATCAACGCGTAGAAAGGTATATCTAAAATAAGATACAATTGTTACACGCAAATTTGCAACTCGACTATATTTTTAAACACAACAATATCGAACGAATATTATTACTCGTTTCAAGATATGAATCGAACAATATTATATCCGACGAGAGAGATTCATCGTGGAAAGAGATTTTTCAATAAACGAATTATTTCCAACTTTGATTAATTATCGCTAAAGATAACGTCACGCTGATAAAACCGCGTACGTGTACTCGTCGAGTTAATCATTACATGTACGCGGAACAGCGAATCAAAAAAAAAAGAAAAGAAAAGAGAGAAAAAAAATGTCATATCCTCTTTGCCTCCACTATCTTGACGTAGCATCGAGTTAACATCCTTAACCCAATAGCATCGAATGACGACGAGCTGTAGCGAAATTTGCTATGCCATTTCTCTGCCAGCACGAAATCGCGTGCAAAATTTTGGAATTTTATTGGTTTTATTGATTTTATATGATTTTTTTGTGAAAAATCATGTCCACGATGGTATTTGAATATGATGTCTCCAACTTATTTGAAAATATATATATATATATATCTTCTTCCAGAATCGAGAGAAGATAGAAGACAGCATATTTGAAAAATTCTATCCTCGAGGTGTGGAGCAGCAGCAAGATTTCCAAGATGTCGGTTGGATTAACTCGTTTGAAAAAAACGAGTGGGTCGTCCCACTTTCATCGCGATCAAAAATTCGCCTCGCCCGTTTAAAATTGATGTTAAAAATCCACTCCAGCCCCGATTTTATGATCGATCCGAGATGCAAAGGTGTACAA